ATTAACCTAATTCAAATTTTGTGCAAAAACGCATGATCGCTCCGGCTCGCTTGGTGCGTTCCAGCCTACGTTTGACAAACGACCACTTGAGCAATACTTTCACCTTTTAATGAACTGGAAATTTGCATTTTTTCAAAAAATTTCTGTCATTTTTCCACATAGCGAGCATTTACTGAAAAAACTACCGGATTTCATGCAGAAAACCGGTAATCATACACCTAGATGTGCACCACCTTCATCCCAACTGATGCCCTTCTTCCTGCATGCCGGTAAGACAAAGCACGGCCAGTATTAGCCCATGTGTAAGGCTACAGCGTAGGGACCATTCCTGCTAATAGCGATCTGCAAGTTTAGTGCAAAACATGCAAAACATCATGCGACCGCACCGGAGAGCCTGGTGCGTTCCAGGCTGGGTTGGAAATGACCCAGCTGTTCACTGAGTAATTTTCCCGCCAGAGATTTAAGTGCCCGTGCACGAGAACCACGCGTACATGGAGGGTGAATTATAAACCCTTAAGCTGTATTTGAAAGGGGAATATTTTCCTAAAATCTCAGCTTTCCAGCTTTTCTTTTTCCAGAATCAGCAATTTTCGCGCCAAAGCATTCACATTGCCGCACGTGACCTGGGAGCATCCCCGGGACTGGGTTTGGAATTTTTAAGTTGTATATAGGCTGGGAACATTTTTCTAAAATTTCAGCCTTCCAGCTTCCCTGGTTCCCGAGTTAGCCATTTTCCCGCCGAAAAAGTTTCACGGTGCCGCACGTAAGAACCGCGCATGCCTGTGGGCTGAATTTGATAATTTTGAGCCGCACATGAGCTGGAAACATCCCCTGAGAGTTTCAGCTCTCCAGCTTTGCTGGTTCCCGAGTTAGCCATTTTTCCACCAAAAAATTTCCTGAGGCCGTACGTGAAAGTCACATATGACTGGGAGCTGAGTTTGATAAGTTTATGTTATACTTATTGCGGTGAACATTTCTTGAGAATTTCAGCCTCTGTCTCCCAAGCTAGCGCTTTTCGCGCTAGGAACCCTCATCGGGTTGTACGCGAGAACCACGCACACCTGGGAGCTGAATTTGAAATCCTTGAGTTTGTGTGAAAGGGGAACATAACCTCAAAATTTCAGCTTTCTTTCTTTTTTCGTTCCCGAGTTATCAACTTTCTCGCCAAAGTTTTCACCTTCTCGTACGCGAGCCCCAGACTTGCGTAAGGATTGGTACCGCGGTTTTGGGGTGGCACTTAGCCAGGGAACCCACTACTGAAATCTTGGTGCTGGAACTTGCTTGGTTGCCGAGTTGAAATACCTGGACGAACACACACACACAGACACACACACACAAACAGACAGGGTCGTTGCAGTATGCGTTTTTGCAATTTGCATATAGGCAAAAAAGCATAAAAATGCCAATTCGACAAGGTACAGGGTGTCGAAATAGAAGGGTTGCGAAATCTGCAAAACGCGCTCACTTTTGGGGCTGCGCTGAAATTGTGTATTTCTTATGCCCTTGTGCAGGGGATTTAATCTTCTAACTGAATTTAGACGGCATGTGGATATAGAATATTCTTGCTCGCAATTTGTCCGATAGGCGAAATAGCCAATTCGGTACCAGTACTTTGAAGTGCCCTAAGTCGTGGCACGAGTGCAAACGAAACTCGTTTTACGTATGCGATTTCCAAATGGATGGTAGCTATTGTCTTCCGACTGCGAACTTTGGTGGGACTCTGCATGACGTAGGTGCGCGTTATAGCCGAATTTGAAATCTTTAGCTCACGCATTATGGACAACATTAGTGTGAAATTTCGGCTTCCTTGTTTGTCTGCTTCACAGAATACGTTTCTCCGCCACAAAGTTTTTCACCACCAGATGTAACATTAAAACGTGATTGAGGATTGATTTCAGGTTGTGCAAACCGCATTGCGCGTTTGTTGGGAACACTGTCCTAAAATTTCGATCTCCCAGTTTTCCTAGTTGCTGAGTTGAAATAGGTGACAAAGTTCACTCATCTGCACACATAAACACATGTTACGAGCCTCTCGGCATCGCGCGTTTTTTTTTTTCTTTTTTACTCACAGCAAAAATAAATAATGACTCTCTAATTCAAAGATATTATTTCTTTCAGCCGAATCCAACACCTATGGTGACTTACACGTATCAGGGTGCATTTGCTTTTTACGTCTCGGCATCGAAACCGGTTGCGGTTATTGCTACAGTGCGGTCTCTAACAACCTCATCTTTATCCGAAGCTACAAGTGACTTTGGCTGCTTCATGCCGCCACCCTGTTCGCAAGAAGGTGTGTTTTCCATGGATAACTAATTCCTTTACTACCAGAATGTGCCTAATCTTAATTTTTATGCGTTTTTGCTTATATGCAAATGTAAAAAAGCATATTGTGGCTGTCTCGGTGTGTGTATATATGTGTATGTGTGTGTGCGTCTGCCAGGTATTTCAACTCGGCGCCCAAGAAAGCTCCGGCGCCAAAATTTCGCCAGTGGGTTCTCTGGCCAAGTGCCACCTAGGGGGACGGTACCAGCCCTCACGCACGTTTAGACCCCGCTTACGAGTGCGTGAAAGTTTTGGCGAGAAAATCGCTAACTCGGCAACAAGAAAAGCCAGAAAGCTGAAATTTTGAGTTTGTGTTTCCTGCCCGCATAGAACTCAAAGGTTTCAAATTCAGCCCTCGGATATGCGTGATCCCCATCTACGACGTCGTGATGGTTCCTGGCGAGAAAATTGCTAACTTGGGAACCAGGAAACATTTTTAGCTACTGGGTTTCCGAGCGATCTTATTACAGCACGAAATACTGCAATAGCGCATGATCGCACGGGCCCGCCCGTGAGCGTCGCTATTGTTTTCTAATACTATTGTACTAAATTCCGGTTTCAGATATTTCCTATACTTCACGGAAATGCAAAACAAATGCCTAATGCTGTAAAGCTGCAACGTTTTGAAAATTTGGGCAAGTGAAAATTACACTTTTTTCAGCTCCGAACCTAAGTTTTTCGTCAATTTACTACCCTCCGATGGATCTGTCGCCTTCAAAATTGAATCTTTTCTACGATCAGAAACTATCCTTTCTTAGGCTATTTTTTTGCTGTTTAATAGGCTAGACTTTTCGATAAATATAGCACATGGGTTGGATTCTTATCTCTTTCCTCTTTCCCCTTCCGCCCATCCTTTACATCCTATCTCTCTTCCAGTGCATCATATCGCTCCCCCTCTTCAAGTGTCTCCTTTATATTGAAGTCTTCTAGGATTGAAAAATCCTATCATTTAAGTACTGGGTGAAAAATTTCACTTTTATTCGCGGGCTGTACTCGGTGTTTGTTTAAGGCTAAGGGATTTTCAGCACCGCGGCTTGCCTGGTAAGTGAAGTAGCCACCTCGCTACAAATACCTCTGATGTGCCTTAGGCAACGGCGCAAGCGCAAATTTCTCCAAAAAACTTGTATCTTTAAGGAGCCCTTACGTGATACCTAGACATACAAATACGATGATTTTAAGATGGGATGGTGATACACTGGGTGGGAATGCTGCCCTAGAATTTTGGCTTTTCAGCTTCCCGCGTTGCTGAGTTGCAAGTGGACAATAAAGTTTACTCACTTTTCTGAACACACATATGCACACACATATGCACACACATATGCACACACACGCACACACACACACACACACACACACACACATACACACACTCAGACCAAGAATCACTCCAGACAGTATTTGTTTTGCTTATTGTAGCAGCGCTATTAGCACTGCATATTAGCGCTGCACAGCAACAGTGCATAAAAACGCGTGCATTTTGCTCGGATTCGTCGTCCTTCTCTCTCGGTACCTTGTTCATTGTCCAATTTGCACTTTCACTGAAAGTCTGGTCAAAGGAAATTTCCCGATACTTCATGCAAAATTTACGGTGATCATGTGCTCTGAAGATTAAGACTTTACGTGGTTCTCTGATGTAGCACCACTTCGCTATTGACGCTTTTTCCCCTTGCATGCAAGGAAATGCTAAATGCAGTCAACATGAGTGCACGTGCTAAACTGTTAAGCAGCAACCATTAATCCTGTTAAATGATTTAATTGCTTAGTGCACGATCGCGCTGGCAAGCCTTGCGTTGCTGTCTAGGTTTTATAACTGTTACTACTTAAACTGAGAGGTCATTAACAATATCGGCCATACATTTCTGGCACTTATAAACTTTCGAAATTATTGCCAGTTTGCAGATGACTCGACCCGCGATTTGACCGACACTCACCTAACGTTGCTTACGGACGCCGAATATTTCATGTTTAACAAAATGTGGTTCCCAGTTTCCAATCAAAGTATTTCGATTTACGGCACCAGCGGTTATAGGAGTATCATGGAAACTAGTTTATGGCAGAGCTTAGATATTGTGCATTTCAACTCGAGCATCTATGGAAACAATGTAGGAGCACAGTCCACGTAAGTATAAAGTATTTCTTGGATATTAGGCTGCGCATGAAAGGAAAGAGCAGGACTAGACAAACCATAAGGGTGTGAGGTCCATCCTGATCTAATTACTCGCAGCGCTGCCTAAGCTGTCTTCGGGGAACAAGAGCAAAATCTAGAGCAAATACTTAATCAACTTTCATTACGTGTCAAATGAGTTATCACGTTCTTCCCTGGCTGTTTGGTACTTGAGGATAAGGCTAACAGAAATGTTTATCGATCCTGCAGCACAGAGATAAGAAAGTAGAGAATACCATCAGCTTGGGGGAAAAGATCAACAATTAGCACCTGTTTTAAAGAGGGTACGAACGCCGCAGCAGTAATGAGCCAAAATTACGTAAAAAAATAGATGTGCTTATTTCAGGAGCCTAATGAACGTGGTAAAATATGGTGGCTATAATATGGGCAGTCAATCTCATCCTTATGGCGCGTTTTTGGAACTTGTGCCGTCGTGGTCCCAGTTGGTCACTGGCAGTGTCGGGTTTG